CTACGATTTGACTTATGAAGAAAAGCCAATTGAGATTTTGGATAGGCAAGTAAAGAAACTAAGGAACAAAGAGATTGTGTCGGTGAAGGTATTATGGAGGAAGTATAGTATGAAAGAGGCTACATGGGAAAAGGAAGAGAAGATAAGGGCTAAATACCCGAAACTTTTTGGTAAGAAAATTTCGAGCATGAAATTTTTATAAATAGGGGAGGATTGTAACACCCAAAATAAATTTTTCATATTATGCATGTGTATGCTTATGTTTATATGTTTTTATATATATTATGCATATAAATGAAATCTTTTAAATTGTTTATCCTTTAGTTATGGTGTTTTGGATTATATGTATCTTGGATTATATGTATCTTTTAAATTTTTCACTAAAAAATCTTGTATTAAGATAGTTATGATGATTAAAGTGGGCTTTAAGTAAAATTAGAGCTTGAAGAGTTGTTGCTCTAGAGGATAATTTCGAACCCAAAAGAGGAAGGTATTTTCTTGCTAAAATTTTTAGTTATTTTTGGATGTTATATGGTGTTTTGATGTTGGTTTGTGATGGGTTTTTCTTTTGAAGTGATATTGATGAAGTTAGGGTTGATATCCAATTTTGGACAAAAGTTGATGAAGTGGTTTTAATTCATTAACCGATGATTGTTTTGCTTTGGGCTTGTGTTTTATTAAGACAAACTGAGATTTAAATGGTTAGATTTCATTGATTGGGAAATTATGTGATGTTATGCTCGGAATTGGGGTTTTGTGAACATTGGTTATGGAAAAGGTTAAAAGATGATGACTTATGATTTATGAACTTTGAGACTCGTTGTGGAGTATGAGAATTTTGATGAATTATTGATTTAATTAGAGGTTATATTGTGGTTTTTTTAATTATAAAAATTGATTAGCTTGAAGAGAATATTGTTGAAGTGTTAAGGAATCAAGGTAAGCATGGTTCAACTCACCATAATGACCATATATGTGATGTGTATTATGTGATTGAATGTGGTGAGTAAATGTTTAATTAATTGTTATGTGTTATGTGATAATGTGTGGTGTGATTAATTGAGCATTAAAGTATATTAATACATGCATTTACGTCATGAGCATAGATTTACATATTTTAGAAAATGCATTGAAATCATAAATGCATGAAAGGAAAAGGTTTTGGTAAAGGCAAAGAGGACTAGACATGACGTCTAATGGGGTACCCGTATAAAAAATGTATTTACTTGCATCATGAAAGTTTAAGAAACGTCATGCATGACTATGCTTATTGGGCGTTAGCTCATTTTGTTATGTCTTGTGGTGTAGGTGAGGAGTTCGTGGATGTTGACGATGCAATCGAAACGCCTTGAACGAACTCTTATGATGTGTCCTTTTATCTAGTTTGAATGTGAGACATAAGTGGCTTTAAGTGGCCTTTTGTATATCTTAACACTTTTCCTTTTATTAGCTGATAAAGTATTGTTCCATGTTTAGTTCAAACACTTGTACAATTTATGTTTTGAAGCAACATGGCCGGGGCCTTTTGCATTGCAAGTCATGTATTTTTGTTGGATCAAGTTCCTTTTGAGGACATGAAAATGAGTTATGTTTGGTTTTATTTGAGGTGTATTATATGTAGGTTATGTTTGATCTGTAGTGTCTCTCTCGCTTGGGATGCCATCATGAATGGGTCCGAATGCGGGACGCTACAAAAGATTTTCACCTTCTCTTAATTTTCTTTTCAAAATTTTCTCTCTCCTATTTTTATCTCCTTTTTATGTGTCTATCTCTCGTCCTTAAAGTAGATTCATGGAGTTATTACTATACATATCACTAGTTACTCATTGAGAATTATATATATTTTTTAAATTGTTTCACATTCTTTTGTCAAAATTACAACTAACGAGTGTTAAATATAATTGATAAATATACCGATTCAAGTTACGAACGCAAAGGTATGTATTGATTATGATATCCAAATAGGAAATGATTTCATTGATCCCATGTCAAGTAGTAGTTGACATTTTCATCACAATTGAATAAAGCTCTTTTTATACATAGTTTTATTTTATAATAATTATTTTATACTTTTGTAATCAAATTATTGCTATTTTCTAGACCCATGTACAAGCATACGAAGGGTGAGTTTAATGATTTAATAACTCAATAGGGATGTGTTGTCAAGTTCATCAATCATGCATTGTAATGCTCGAAATTAAATTCTCTGTTGTGTGTGAATATTTTGTTTGTTAATTATATTTATACCATACTTGTGATGTTTTATGATACATGTTTTATTACAAAATAATTGTATATTAAGTGTTATGTGTGAATAGTGAAGTAAATGACAATTGTTGAAAGATTAGAAAAAATAGTTTAATTAAATGATTTTCATGCATGCATAACTTAGAATTTAAGATACAATTTTGACCTAAATATTTATTAATATACAAAAAAATAATATCCTAATTAGGTGTTCCACCTAAATTAAAATTTATAAGTGTAAAATAACCATTTTAGGACATATAACTCATTAAGGGCATTTTGGACCAAAAAGTTTGGCCAAGAGACGAAAATAAGAGGGGAGATTTCATTTGAGCTCACGCTTTCTTCCACCACCATCTTTGAGAGAAAGAGAGCAAGGAAGACCAAATCACAAGAGAGAAAGTTAAAAGGAACCAAAATTTACCAAGGGAAGAAAGCTGAAATTGATTAAAGGAAGCAAGCTTGGCCAAAACTTTGGGCAAAAAAAGAAAGGGTAACTTTAGGAGTTTTAGGGTGATTCCATCATCAATTAAACCTAAGATAAGTATAACTCCAACTCATCATAAGACTTAGAGTCCGTATGTGTTGATTTTAAGATTTCGCACTTATGAAACCTAGGGTTTCTAATTGAGCATTTCAATCAATAGTGTGCAATTGATGCTTGAATTGTGAAATTGATGAATGATTGACTATTGTAATGTTATGACAAGTGTTTAATTGATAATTAAACATTGTATTGATAGTGGGTAAGTAATTAATTATTGTTGTTGTTAATTGAAAATTTATGAGTTTATATTTAAATCGTGTGATAGTTGTAATTTGAACAAATGAATGAGCTTTGGTATAATTAGTAAATTGATAATCATGGTTGGGTGATTGAATGGGAGAAAAATAAGCTTATGGAATGGATTCATTGGGATGAACCATTTTGCCATGCTAGAAAGAATTAGGAGAAATTGTTTTGTAGAAAACTAATGCATCCTAGGTGTTTGATAAAATGTATAAACCATGTTTGGACTTAAAATTAAAGAGGAAATTGAAATAAAAAGGCTAGTTAGGTTTGATAGATTCAATCAACATGGGAACTAGAGTACAATGTGTTTGTTTATGTATTATTATATTAAATGGTGGTGTTTAAAGGTATAATGAGAAAGAATCACTTGGTTGTTTGATAAGAAAACCATTCGGCCAAGTCTCTAATTTGAGAGATTATGGAATTAGATGATTATGCAATGAAATTTAATGACTTTAGCCTTGGTTAGTAGTAGTTAGGTGCAATGAAATGAAGAAATAGGATGGATTGATTAAGAAGTAGATTAGGCTTGAACATATAAGGTGAATTATATGGTTTGAATGATTGAGGAAATCTCTCTTTGTTGAATGGATGAAACATTCGACCAAGAGATAAATTTTTGGATTGTTTGCCTAATGCTTCATATGGTATTGGATTGTAATGAATGTGTATGTTTGAGGATAAATGGATGTGAAATGGCTTGAAAATGATTGTGTGTATGATGTATAATGGTGTGATCATATTTAGCCAATAGTGAATTTCCTAAGGTTAGTGTTCATAGGAGATTTTATGATGAATTCATGCTTTTTTGTGACATGTTGGGAAATTTGAGATTAATGAATGATAATTAGTTGAGTTCATTGTTATATGATTTTCGTTAACAAAAATTATGGAGCCATGGCATTTGATTTTAGTTAACGAAAATTGTTAAGCCACAACATCTAATTTTCATTGATGAAAATTGTAAAGATTGACAAAAATTGTTATGTCATGACATGCAATAATCATGGATGAATATATAATTTTGCTAAATAAGGTGTCTTTGGTTGAATAACATAGATGGTAGACTTGATAATATTCAGCCTTGTCATGTCATGTGGAATGTTACAAGGAATGATTTAATATCATATGATTCATTCTGAATCCAATCTATTGTTATGTAGTTTAGACTTATAACAACAATGACAATAATAATAACAACGACAACAACATGGATTAGAACATAATAAAACCAACTAAATTCTTTTGGAAGAATTGATCATATATATAAAAATAAAAAAATAGAGGATGAATGATTTTTTCTCTCTTGGCCTCTTTCTTAATCTCTTTCTTAATGATGGAAAAATATGGTAGCATTAAGAGTTCTTTTATTTATTTATTGCCATTGAAAGACAGAGAGAGGATGAGACTTTTTTTTATAGCATTAATCATAATTAATCTCCCATCAAAACTTGATTATGATATTAGGTATCGTTATTAATTAGATGTATTTTAAATATCTTGTAGTATGTGGATCATAATTAATTTTACATTCCAAAACCTTCAAAATTTACTTTTGTATTTATTCATCTTTCTTGGAGATTACTTAAACGCAATTAACTCATCTATTCAAATCATTCATTTGGACTTAAGTAAAAGATGTAATAATCAATGTAACCAACTATATAAATTATATTACAAGATTCTGATCCAATGAGAAAATGTGGGAGAGAAACATTTAAAATGGATCTTTGATGTTGTCTTCCATATTACAATATTTTTAGCATCAATTATGACCACCTAATACTTTTATTTCATTATTATGTAAAAATAAATAAGTATATTTTTACAGTATTTTTTGCTTGAATTAGGACCACCTAAGAGCTCTATTTAATTGGATTCATCTTCATCATACCTCTCGCCTATCCAGTTCTGTTAAAAAAAAAAAAAAAAGGGCAGTAAGATCCACTATTTTGCAAAAATGGAAGTCGTGATTCCCAATGCTGCAAATTCCATTGCTGAAGAAGTGAAGGCTTTTGACGCAACAAAAACTGGTGTCAAGGGATTAGTGGAGTCTGGTGTGACCAAGATTCCCAGGTTCTTTGTCCACCCACCAGAGGATGTCCAGAAGTCATCGTCCGAGACTGACACCAGCCTTCAGGTTCCAATCATAGACTTGGAAGGGTTTGAAAGTTCCCGGCGACTGGAGGTAGTCAATGAGATCCGCAAAGCATCAGAAGAATGGGGTATCTTTCAAATTGTTAACCATGGAATTCCAGTTACTCTATTGGATGAGATGTTAGCAGGTGCAAAACGATTCCACGAACAACCTCAGGAGGTGAAGAAGGAACTATACACACGTGACCATAAAAAACAAGTGAAGTTCTACTACGGATCAGCCGGTCTGACTATAAAACCATCATATTGGAAGGATTCATTAGCATTTAATTATCCGGATGGCAAACTAGACCCTGAACTCATTCCTGAAATTATAAGGTAATGTAAATTTGCAATATCATAATTAAGATTCAAATTAAACTCTCTGTAAATTCATTTTTCTTGGAGATTAATATTGGATTTAATTAATTTTTTCCTGCAGAGAAGAGATTAGTGAATACTTCAGTTACATGAAAAAAATCGGCAAGATACTTTCTGAACTCTTATCAGAGGCACTCGGACTTCGTCATGACTATTTTTCAAGCATAGAATGCATGGAAAGTAAAGTTATAGTCTGCAATTATTACCCACCTTGTCCTGAACCAGGCTTGGCATTGGGCGCCAGCAATCATACAGACCAGGCTTTACTGACTATACTTGGGCAAGACAACTTGGGTGGCCTCCAAGTTCTTCATCAGAATCAATGGGTTGATGTCAACCCCATCCAGGGAGCACTTACAGTAAATATAGGGGACTTCATGCAGGTAAGATCTTACATTTTCAATTCATTTGGATTTTCGTTTTATGTACAAAGAAATAGAAGTTACTGCGATTTCTAGTGTTAAAACTGAAGATGGATGACGGTACCAATATTTTAAAATTCTGAATTTACCCATAAAGAAGCTTATTTTCACAGTTCATAATGTCATAAATAAATTATAGTCTGTCATTTTCTTTTTCTGCAGTTTTTTTTATTTATAACCAGTTTATAGTGTGATACTGATGACCTAATTTTGTTCTTCATTTGCAGCTTATCACCAATGACAAGTTCAGAAGTGTTCAGCATAGAGTTTTGTCTGTAGAAGTTGGAACCCGGATATCAGTTACTTGCTTTCTCTATCCAAGCTCTGCAAAAATATCAAAGCCATATGGGGTAATAAAGGAGCTTCAACCTGAAAAGCCACCCATCTATAGGGAAACTCATTTTGCTGAACTTGTGGAGGAATTCTACGCATTAGGACCACGTCCCTCAAACCTTTCTCGTTTTAAAGTATGAAATATATGAGTCCATGCTTTTGCCTGACAATTTCCACTGCAGGAACTTGTTGAATTTTCTTTTCTGATGGATGTTGAAATTAAAAAAAAAAAAAAAGGTTGTAACATTATAGCATTGTCTTCTTCACCTTGTTGGCATTGTTAGTTGAATTTGGACGTGATCGATCCATTTTCAACCTTATGTGTTAATTTGCTTATGTAAGTTACTGATTTAGATGGTTTTAAATAGCATTAAAATGTATAGTTAATGATATCTTTATCGTTGAATAAAAAAAGGCATTAATAGTTATGGATGTCTATCTACTCTTTGATTCTATTTTTATAATGCTCTTCTACTATTTTTTTAATAGTAATATTTACGTAACTTGATGTTTACTTCTTGAATTGATCACATTAACGATGTTAAATATAACCTGTAATTGTATACTGATTCAAGTTGTGAAGGCAGGTGTTGATTATGATATCCAAATAGGAAATGATTTCATTGATCTCATATATCAATAGTAATTGACATTTTCGTCACAATTGAATAAGGCTCTTTGTGTACACAGTTTTATTTTATGCTATTTACCGGTCCCATTTACAAAGGCAAGAGGGCTGAGTTCAGTCATTTAACAAGTCAATAGGGATGTGATGTCAATTTTATCATTCATGCATGAACAAAAAGTTCTTTATTCTTAAGAAAACAATTTTTTTTTTGGTCCATGCTATGCATGTTAGATAAACTTAAAATCATTTAAAAAAATTATTTTAATCTAATGATCCGTGCTATATTGTGGATCCATAAAAATATATGAAATTAAAGATAAAAAATATATTTTTATAATATTTCAATCAAATTTTATATTTAACCATTTCTTCTTTATATTTTAATAATTTTTTTACTAAAAAAATAATTAATTCTTTTTCGTCCATGGATTCTTAAACAAAACATAAATTCAATACAAATATATATAACCTAAGTACTTCATAAAATTATGTCAAAAAACAAAGTAGCAATTAATGTAAAAACTAGCATAAAAATAAATGAATAAAAATATTATTTTTTATTTTTATTCAATATTAATGAGAATTTTATTTTTTTATAGTGTGTACATTTGATTTTTATATATTTATTCACATAAAAAATCAATAATTTTAAAATAAAAAACTATATTTGAATCATTTGATAGTTATGAGAAAACATAATTTTATACATTCAATTTGAAAGAATTTGATTTCAAATATCCAAAAATAAAAACATAAATAGTAAATTCCTTATGCTATGATAGTTGCATAGTTGATTTTTATAAAAACAGAAATTCAATTTCTTTTTTATACATTATAAATATATTGAGTGAGTTTAGAGTGTGCAGTGTAAAATAAAAGACATTAAAAAAGTTAACTTTTAAAAAATATATTGAATAATTTAAAATTTATAGATTAAAATAAAATTATTAAAAAAATAATTATGATAAACTTTAATTATATAAAAAATAACCAAATAAAACACGTGAGTTCATCTCTTTTTTTCCTTCTTAATTTTTTTTTTAAGCCACACATGGCCAATCCCTTTTCACATGCCTTATGCGTATATCAATCATTTTTTTCTACATTTAACTTTTAATTATTAATTAACTATTTTGATTTTTTTAAATCAAGATAAATTATATTAAACACATTGTTTAATAAAAAGAATATTTTAGTCAATAACATATATATATATATATATATATAAGAATCAATTATCTAAAATATATCTATTTATTTTTTATTTTTTATTTTTTTAAATGATCATATTCTAAATTTTACTTTAAAATCCAAAAATTAAGGATCAAAGCACAATTTTGCAAAACATTGCATATAATAGAGTTTTTTTTTTTTTTTAGTGAATGCATAGTAGTGCATAGTATTTTGTAAGGTAGTTTATAAAATGCCATAAGAATGCTATTGTAAGGCAGAGTATAAAATGCCCCTAAAAAAGTTTTGAAATTCATGAAAATGCCACTGCTCAAGCTATAGGCATTAATGAATAGTATTTATGAGGTGATAAACAATGATGTGTACAATGTTTCTTAATTTTGTTTTAGATATTTTTGTTAATAGAAGAAAAAAATATCTTAATTAAAACTTTATTAACCATCTTGTTGACATGAATTTTTTTTCTAGTTTAAAACAAGAGAAAAATTAAAGATTTTGTTTCAAATTATACTAGGTTTTGTAAGATTTCTTTATAAGTTTTTCTGGTATTTAATAATTATCATTTTTATCTGGAACATGGATATGGTTTAAGTGAACACTTTTTTTAGAAACATTTTTTTCCATTTTTTTTTTAAATTGACAGATTTTATCGCTACAAAAATAGAGAAATGAATAAAAAGAATAAAAAATCAAATATTATGGTTTTAATTTAAACATTTTCATATTTTTATCTCTATCCATAAAAAATAAAGTGTTTAGATTCAAATAATTGAGATTGGTCTTATATTCAAATTTAAAGGATCCCAAAAGATTGTTAAAAAAAAAAAAAAAAAGGGACATTATTTATGTTTCTATAATTGCACACTTGATAAAACTCTAATCAAATCAATACTTTGCTGCTGCGCCTCCTCTTCAAGCGCTCTTAGCCAATATAAACGAAGGTGCATGAGAATTACTACGAACACCAAAACGAACAATCATACACCATGTGTAGAAGAATCAAAACAAACGTAGGAGTGGAAATATCAATTTACTTTTGAGAAAATTTTACTGTAAGTACATCGGCTTTTAATATTTTTTCAATTGAGTATATAAATTTTAACCTTTTTTGTTTGGTGGTACTAAATTTTTTAAAACTATCAATTAAGTATTTTTATCCAACTTTTATCAATTGTTTCATTATCTAATGTCCTTTATCCAATACTATTAAATTATAATTTTTTTTTATTTTTTGAGAGAACTTTTCCTCTTAAATTATTTTGTTCTATTTTTTTTTTTTTTTGTATATATAGATAATTTGAGTATTTACTATGCAAAAAGAAGGAAAAGAGCAAAATAATTTGAGGGGGGAATTCTCTACAATAATGGAAGGGCACATTATTAGATAACAGAGTAATCAATAGAAATTGGATAAAAATATTTTATTGATAGTTTTCAAAAAATTAATATACCCAAATAAAAAAAATCATATATATTCGATTGAAAAAAACATTAACTTATAATATAATTATCTCATTTCCTTCTAGAACCAAGTACAAACGAGAAAGAAAGAAAACAGAAAACATCATCTTTTACGTGAATTGAAACTAACAGTAAAAATACCGTAATTGATAATAAATTTCATTGAGAACAACAGTTTAGCTTAAGGAGTGAAGAATCTGAGGAAAACCCATTTCAGTTCTTTGTTTTAAATTGCAGAAAGAGAGCATTTTTTACCCAAAAGGAAGGCCTCTCTACGTCAAGTTTTAAACTTTGGGCTGGACTAACACCCCACTAAATTAAGAAGGAAAAAAACAAAAAAAAAGTGGTCTGAAAAGAGAACAACAGATGCAACGACTTTCAATGAGATCATGAAGCATTTTCTTGGTAAGATTGAATTATTGTTCAATACACTTAAAAAGTATCAATACTAATAATCAAGAAATCAATCGACAACATAATCACAACAAGGATTAAGTAAGACTTCAGTATGAAAAACACGTTACCAAGACAACAATAGAAAGACATTAGGCTACAAAGAAAAAAACACTCAATACAATATATAAATAAATTCAATTTGTAAATTACAAATAACTCTAACACATTATCCTCAGTTTCAACATACTTTAAGTTTGTTAAACTATAGCTTGTAGGTAGTAATTCATATGCTATAATTGAGTAGGTAGATATATTTATAGGCTGATACAGATTGGTTACTCTTGCATCCACAGTTCATGATCGTGAACACTGATTACAAACACTTTTCGTCATTAGCAAATGAAAGTTTTTGCCTATATTTGTCACGTCGTTAAGCTTGCAATCTTATCTTTTCTCATATATAGGTGGTTTAATCTTGTGGTCTTTAGTTTAAACTTATTTTTTTTATTCCAAATTAGTTTAAGACATTTCATTTAAATTATTATTGTTGTGAACCTGTAACTCAATCTGCCTGGGCAGATTGCAAACTTCATTTGAAGGTTGCAAACTGATTTTAAATAGCTTTAATTTAGTTATTTTATCTATATAAAAAATACCTAAAATATTCTTAGGAGAAGTAATAACACACTTAGGACCACTAATTAAGCTTTTTTATATTCAAGTTTGGAATATTATCTAACCATTTTTTATTTTTTATATAAAATTTTTTAATTGATCTATACACAAAAGAACCCATAAAACAAATGGGAATTTTTTTTTTTTTTTTCATTGTGTTTGTAAGTTGATGAATAATGTGTTTGATGAATTTATTTGGTTATAATTTTATTAAATTTGATTAATCGAAAATTGGTTTTGCCATTCTATTTTTGATGTTTTGCATTTTGTGCTGTCTTTGGATATTTGTTTCTGTTTGAATCCAAGAATAAATTTGAAACGGGAAAAATAGGAAGTGAAAGATACTTAACATTAAATTCCGTAGGCCCTACATGCAAAGCCCTTATATGCTCTTGAACAAAAGTTCTTTATTTTTAAGAAAACATATGTAGTTTAATTTTTTTTTCTTTTTTCTGGTTTAGAACAAGAGAAAAATTATATCCTATATTAGCATGTAGCCGAAACAATTGATATTGGATAGTAAATAATTTTTTTTAAATAAATCTTGTAGTTTTCATATAAATAATTATTTTTTTAATTCTTTAAGATATCTCAAATTCAAAACTTCAAATTAATTTATTGTTATTCGTCGAACGTAAAAGACGAAAAATAATTAACTAAAAATTTTTTTGTATACAAAAAGAATTGAATTCAATACCTTTTATTTAAATGATTAAAATTTCTTTCATTGAAGTTAATCCTCTTAAATAAATAAATAAATAAATAACTTAATTTTAATAGAATTAAAGAGATGGATATAATTTTGGTAAGTGAAAGTTAGTCTCACCATTCCATCGTACCATAAAATAAAAGTAATTGACAAAAGAAAGAGAGAGACAGAGAGAACGTAAATGATGGTTGATTCCAAAGTAAAAAATTACTTTATCTTAATCATGAAAATCAAAACTTACTTATACGGTAAACTGGGAGCAATAATTGGAAAGGAAAGAAGAAATATATCTAGAGTAATATGGATAAAAAATATTACTTCATCCCTTTACTTTTCATATTTTGTCAAATCAAATCCTATACTTAAAATTGGACCAAATAAATCCCTCAAATTCTAATTAAAGACAATTTGATATCCTCCAGCCAATTACATTATAACACATGACATTTATATTGTCATTTAATTATTAACAAAGTACATTGAACGACTTTAAAATAAAGGCCTGTATTTTGTCCAATCATTTAGTTATTGAAAAAAAGAGATGGGGTAAAATTGGAAAAAAACGATGAATTAAAGAAATATCTATTAATCTATAAGGCTTCTTTCCCTTTCAAATCTTTGAAATATATTAAAAAAGATTTATTTAATTAGAGGTAGACAGATTGATTTGACTCAATTTAAAATTATAAATTTCATTTGACCGGATGCTATTTATTTCCGATTAATTAATAAGAGAGATTGGACGAGGTTACTTGAACTTGAATTGAAGAATAAATCAAGAAAACTCGATTAATCTATGAATTTTTTGCTTTCAATTTTTGAAATAAATTGAAATATCGAGTTTTCTATAATGGGGAAGACAATGTTATCTTATCGGGAATAGTGGAAAAAGAACTAGAAAACAAGATTGTATAAAGCAGATGGTTATCATGTTCATTGAAAGTCAAAAAAATATCTCAGATAGCGTGTATAGATTTCTACGTGGATTAATAAATCTTTTTATTTCTAATTTGGTGTTATATATATATATATAACTGACGTGCTATTCTTTACTCGTATATGAAAATCAACATTTTGGTGCCTTCTCGTTGTCCTATTTCCTTGTCATATTATTCATTGGAAATCAAAAGATGCATGTGACATTTTGGTACCTTCTCATTGTCATATTTCCTTGTTTTGGTACCTTGTCATGGTGTCAAATTTTCCTTGCTTGCGATGTTGGTTTTCGATCACTCAACATGAGCTTCTCTTTCCTTATTTATTGATTTCCTCTCCATCTCACCAGCCACAAAACCTTCAGTAAGATCACTCATTCAGTACTGCTGCAAACATGGAAGCTAATCCAGAAGATGGATCCAACTATGACGAAGCTAAGGAAGTGATGGCATTTGATGAAACTAAAGCCGGAGTTAAGGGACTAGTTGACTCTGGAGTGACCAAGGTTCCCAGGTTCTTCGTCCAACCATCAGAGAGAGTTGAGAAGCTATCATCGAAGTCTAGCAACATCAACTTTCAGGTTCCAATCATAGACTTCGAAGGCTTTGAGAATTCTCGGAGGATAGAGGTAGTGAATGAGATTCGAAAAGCATCAGAAGAATGGGGTTTCTTCCAAGTTGTTAATCATGGCATTCCTGTCAGCGTCATGGATGAGATGTTAGTAGGAGTGAAACGATTCCATGAGCAACCTCAAGAGGTGAAGATGGAGTTGTACTCGCGGGACGCTAACCAACGAGTGAAGTTCTTCAGTGGCGTTCTCCTTCTGACTAAAGAACCAGCAATTTGGAGGGACACCATAGCATTTGATTTCAAGGACGGTAAATTAGACCCTGAACACTTTCCTGACATATTCAGGTATTGTAAATGTGCAATAAGATCCAAAACTATCTATAGAAATCAATTTTCTTGGAGATTTTTATTTCATTTAACCAAACTTAACTTGCAGAAAGGAGGTTAGTGAGTATATCAGACACGTTATGACGATCGGCAAGACACTATCTGAATTCTTATCAGAATCACTTGGGCTGCGCAGTGATTACCTTTCAAGCATAGAATGCATGGTAACTGCATCGTTGGTGGGTCACTACTACCCAGCTTGCCCAGAACCAGACTTAACGCTTGGCACCGCCAATCACACAGACCCATCTTTTCTGACCATACTTCTGCAAGACAACATGGGTGGCCTCCAAGTTCGTCATCAAAATCAATGGGTTGATGTCCCCCTCTGCATGGTGCTCTTCTAGTAAATATAGGGGACTTGATGCAGGTAATTATATTTTCCTTTTTCTATTGATTGCTATTTTCTTTTCTTAGTGGTGATTTTTTTTTTATTTATGAAAATTTTTATCAATATATTAAAATAGAAAGAATCAACAAGAAAATAGTTAAAACATGAGTTCAGAATTTTATTTTTTAAAAAAAGACTATCCATCAAAGCTGAACTATCTGTTCTAGAAGCCAAATTGATCGACGAGTTCTTGATGAATTTGTCCTTTTTTAATTCCATAAGAGCTATACAGTGGATCATTTTTTGAATAGACAAAATGATCATCAATATATATTTAGCCAATATGCTATTAGCAACGAAAGAATATTATCCCAATCAGGAGTGATGCTATTAAAGATAAGATCGATCATTTCGTACTAATTAGATCACCATAGACTCGATAAAGAGCAAAAACCTGACTTCCTTATGCATACTTCTATGATAGAAAGACTCCATTGTAGAAAAAAGCTCATCCATAGATCTTGGGATATTCCATGAACAATCCCACTAGCAAAAGATTTTAGATCACAGTTACCAAACCTTGAGACAATGGAGAAAGAGGTGAGACATAGTCTCCTAAATGTCGTTACAGAAAAAAGAAGAAGCAGAAACTCGCTGAGAACTCCACTAGTCTACAAAAAAGAAAGTCTTTTTGTAATTTACCAAGAAAAGCTAGCTAGATGAAAGCTTCTACTTTTGAAGGTGCTAAGGTTTTCCAAACATAGGAAACTATAGGTGAGTCTCCACGTAAAAAAATCGAATCTAAGATTGAGAAACAAGACTGGACAATATACAAGAAAAGAACCCTACCAGCCTGGGACAAGCTGGAAAGGTCCAATCTAATCATGATCTTGCAGTGTAGCAGTGCAATGATCCATTGTGGTCGTTTATTTTTTGTTGTAGCAGTTTATAGTTGTAATATCCATGTTTCCAGCTGGACTTAGCTACGAAACACAGTATTGAATGCCATTATATCTAAGAGGTTGTACATGGTATAAAAGTCTAATAAAATTAAGACTTCAAGATCGACAGAGATCTGGAAGGATGAATTTATCACTTAGAAATGGAAAACCAACTTGATGTTGGCTCAAGTTTTTGACCTTTTTCATGATGCAGCTATCTCAGCCTTTATATCCTGTTCTGCAAGGAACTGTAAAAGAAAGTAGGCATTTTAAGTGTAAGGACTAAATGTTGTTTGCTTGGTTTTGCAGCTTATCACCAATGACAAGTTCAAAAGTGTGGAGCATAGAGTTTTGGCCGGAGAAGTCGGACCCCGGACATCAGTAGCATGCTTTTTCTTCCCGAGTACAGAAAATACGCTTAAACCATATGGGGTAATAAAGGAGCTTCTATCTGACAAGCCACCATTATATAGGGAAACTCATTTGGCAGAATATATGGCTCAATTCATGACCAAAGGATCATATATCTCAACCCTTTCTCATTTTAAATTGTCTTGAGGCCATGCTTGTTGCTCTCCTGCAGGTGATGATGGTCGAAAATCAATATATAGCTTGTAACACTAATAATATTCTCATCACCTTGTTGAAATTGTTGAATTTGGGTCTTGACAAAAGACTTAAACCTTATATGGTAAACTATCTATTTTCAACCTTTATGTGACTTCGTATTTGTATCTTTATTCTATGTGGAATTACTTGCCCGAGATGCAGGTTCTTTTATGAGTTCCTTTTACTTCAACAGCTCCTTTGAAGGCCTTCTGTTGTTCTTGGCTGATTCTGAACACTAATCCAATTACTCACTACATGAACATTCTTATCTCTATTAGTGTAAAAAGGTTTTCTATAATATCTTTGCTTAAAACTCAAAGAAATTATTGCCTTTTGATTGACTGAATGTCTGTCATCATCGATTGGTATGAATCGATCAGGTGACTATGGATGCTTTATCTCTTATACACAAGCAAAAGGGCATGAATATGACTCGAGGAAGCTTGATGATATCAGAAACATTGGTGGACGTTGGCTTATAATGATCAGTTCTTTTGCATTAAAAAATTCAAAGGAATGGCCTCTAGTTTTAGACATTGGAAATTGTTTTTGAATAACCACTTTGCTAGACAATACTACTTTCTAATGTTTAGAGAAATGATGGAAAATGAAAGGATGGATTTAATCAGAAAAGAGACAGGGTGGAAACTTAATCAAAAGAAAAGGTGAACTTTTGTGTGTTTTAAAATCTCAATTAATACTTTAATTTATCTATTCTTTCAGTTCCTTCGAATTAGACTAATAAAAAAATGTAACGAATTAAAAAACAAGAAAAAAGAAGGAACTCAATTATGCAGGTTAGAGTGGACCAGACCAGAAAGGTCATAAGAAGAAAATTGGGAGAGATAGATCTAAGAATAAGATTTTCAAACTTTCATGACGTCTCATAATTAAGACCAGACCAGAAAGGTCAAAAGTTCTGCTGGGCCATTCCATATTACAATTTTTCTTATGCTTTAATTATGGCCTGTCACTAATCACCTTCTACTTCTGTAACCAAAAACAGTGTCATCATCTAATTCTGCAAACATGGAAGTCATGATTTCCAATGCTGAAGAAGGTTCTTGCTACGACGTAACTAAGGAAATGAATGCAATTGATGCAACAAAAGCTGGTGTTAAGGGACTAGTTGATTCTGGTGTGACCAAGATTCCCAGATGTTTTGTCCACCCACCGGAGGACGTGCGGAAGTCATCATCCATGTCTACCAATATCAACCATCAGATTCCTATTATAGACTTCAACGGGTTTGAAAGTTGTCGGCAATCGGAGGTAGTTAATGAGATCCGCAAAGCATCAGAAGAATGGGGTTTCTTCACGTTGTTAATCATGGGATTCCTGTTACTGTCTTGGATGAAATGTTAGCAGGGATGATAAGATTCCACGAGCAACCTCAGGAAGCAAAGGCGGAGCTATACTCTCGTGATCCTAAAGAACGAGTGAAGTTCTTCTATGGAGGAGTCCTGATGACCAAAGAACCAGCAATTTGGAGGGATACAGTAGCAATAAATTTACAGGATGGTAAACTAGGCCCTGAACGATTTCCAGAAGTTTTCAGATATGGTAAATTTGCAATAAGATCCCAAACTCTATCTCAACAAGTTCATTTCTCTAGGAGCTTTCACTACATGCCATTAAATTTGTCTTGCAGAGAAGAGATAATTGAATACATTAAACACATGATCAAAACCAGCAAGACACTGTCTGAGCTCTTATCAGAAGCACTTGGGCTTCGTAGTGACTACCTTTCAAGCTTAGAATGCATGGAAACTCAAGCATTGACAGGTAACTATTACCCAGCTTGTCCTGAACCATACTTGACAATGGGCACCTCCAATCATACAGACCCTTCTTTTTTAACCATACTTGTGCAAGACAACATGGGTGGCCTACAAGTTCATCCTCAAAACCAATGGATTGATGTCCCACGTCTGCAAGGAGCACTTGTTGTAAATATAGGGGACTTCATGCAGGTGAAGAATCTTACAGTTTCAGTTGATTATAATGTTCCTCTTATGAACAAAAATGACTTTGATTTTCTTCAGCAATATTTTCAAGTTAGTCTGTCAATGAGAAGAGGCAACCTTTCTCCCTCTGACAAACTACAATGAGATCCAAGATGTTAAATCTTCACTATTCTGACATACTTCATTACTATAATTTCATCATTCATGTGTGTTTCATCGTATCCGTTGTGACGATATGGATCGTTAATGTCGAAATCGTGACGAAAAATGTGCGAGAAATTGTTTTCTGATTTCTACTGTCATGGTCTACATGTTGTTTCTTCATGTTGCAGCTTATCATCAATGACAAGTTCAGAAGTGTGGAGCATAGAGTTCTGGCTCAAGAATTCAGACCCCGGGGATCAGTCGCAAGCTTTTTCTTTCCAAGTACAGCAAATAAATTTAAACCATATGGAGTAATAAAGGAGCTTCTATCTGACAACCCACCCACATATAGGGAAACTCATTTGGCTGAACTTATGGCTCATCATTACATGTTCAGAGGATCATCTACCTCATCACTTTCTCCTTTTAAATTGACATGATGCCATGCTTGTTGCTTCACAATTTCTGCTGCACCAATTTGTCGAATTTTCCTTTTCTTTCATGGATGTTGAACATTAATAAATTGCTTATAACAGTGTTAAAATTACCGTCAAAAAGACTTAAACCTTATAATGAGTGATCCATTTTCAACCTTTTATCTGGCTATGCTAATACATATATATATATATATATATATATATATATATATATATATATATTGTTTCTGATACCGGAATGCATTCTTTTATACGTTCTACTTTGACAGTCACCGAATCGGAAACTTTGAATCTTCTTCAGTGACAGTGTTTTCTTAAGAGAATAACCTGGTGAATTGACAATATGCTTAGTCTGGTAAAAGGCTTAGGCATTTTTCGCAGCTTTCAACGGGGGACTTAACTGATTTCTCACTTTGACATTGCTAAGATAAATTCACTACTGCTGGAAGATTATTTAAGTGATCGTTTCGGTGCTCATGTTTCCTTTGGCAACTCTGCAGTGTTTCCAACTTCAGTCTTCTCTGCTTTGCTGCAATCAAAGGACTTTCCAAACCTTTCCAAAAGAAGCTGGTCCTAGAGCTTCAAGCAACTGAATACTCACAGTTACCAGCTAGCATAGAGCTTTAAAAACGGGGAAGGCATTTCTTAAAGGTCTCGTAAGCAATTGATAACTCAAGTCATTCTAGTAGCTACATTTCCGCAAACTAATCTACCAAAAACCACGAACTGAAAGAAAGGTGGCCATATTGTTATAATGGATGGATGTTTTTCTATTACAGATAAGATGAAGTTAATTTTCGACAAGGCTTGAGCTCGTCAAGCCAGCTTGAAATGAGAGAGTGTTGATGTCCTGGATCCGACTTCTCTGACCAGAACTCGGTACTCCAAACGCCTGAATTTGTCATTGGTTATAAGCTACAAAATGGCCGAAAACCAAAAAGTCTTGGATACTCCAACCACTTTTCTTTCACTCAAACGACAAAAATTTAACAGTGAATATCAATTATTAGATGGAAATTTCAACGTTGGTAAAGAGAAAAAAGCAGTTAGAATTCAAGCACACGATGTTTTGTTCACTTTTTGCTGAAAAAGCAAATGGCAAACCAAACTGTTAAAAAGATGTTTTGCAGTGTAAAAACCTGCTTTTTTAATTCTTTTGAAAAGGGTTCCGATCCTTGTGTTAAAAGTCTTGAATCATCATTTGCATGTGATGATTCCCTCACATGCAGCTATGTTTCTTCAAGCCTTAAGGGAAGTTCACTCTGCGCAAAATACAAAGGACTGAAGACTTAGCCTCCAGAGTACTACCCTATTTAGACTGGACCTTATTTCAACTTGTTAGAAGCTAATAGGTTGCCTCTCTACTGTATATTATTTGCTTACAGAAGGGGAATATATACAATGAATTAGAATCCTTAAACATTAGGGTCATTAATTCTAGTTCAATAATTCTATACATGATATGATCTACCTTCTAACTATATAAGGAAGTGATTAGCCTAATGTCCATACATATAAGGATGCACTAAAAGAAAATATTCTAAGGTAATATTTATGTCTTTACTATTCATTAGCTGACTCAAATTAATAAAAAAATAAAAAATAAACTTTACTTGCATGAAGTCCCCTATATTTACTATAAGAGCTCCTCTAGAGGAGGGACCTCAATCCATTGATTTTAATTTCAAACTTGGACGCCACCCATGTTGTCTTGCAAGCAGTATAGTCGGAAAAGACGGGTTTCTATGATTGGTAGGGTCGAACGTCAAGTCTGGTTCAGGACATGCTAGGTCATAATGGCATACCAACATTTGAGTTTCCATGCATTCTATGCTTGAAAGGTAGTCACTGCCTTTGATATGAGTTCAGATAGCATCTTGTAGATTTTGCAATGGTGTTTTTAAACCCATAATACACAACTCGTCTATCGTATTGCCATGATCTCCTCAAGAAAATATGACATGCTGTTTTAGAAATCACGTCACACCACACTTTGTCTTGATACCTTTTGCCTATCAAAAAGCATACAAGACACCTTTTGGTCACCTAAATGTCATAAACTCTATCCAATCAAGCCACCTTATATGGATTAGGATGATCAATAATCGGTAAGTTGAGTTTCTCCACTATTTTCATGGATATCAATTTCTTATAACTTCCTTCGTCAATGATCAACTCACGCACCTTATCATGAGATGTGCATTGCGTGCGAAAAAAAAAGTTACATTTTTGCAAATCTTGTTCTTGAACTACCTCAGTATTACAAAATTTAAGATAAGTATCTTGTCTATAATAATAAAAAAGATCCTTAAGGTTCAATGTCTTCCTCATCTTGTCTCACTACCTGATTTTTCCTTTCCCTTAACAGATTTGTTGCTTCGCTAAGTTCTCCCACCACATGAAAGCCTTTTGTTATCAACCTAACTGCCATAAGCTTGATCTTTTTGTCATCTAGAACGTCTTTGAAATCAAACACTCTCTCTACAGTGTGCATCCATTCAATGAAGCCATTTGAATTAAGCTTATCGTTAAAGTTGAGTATCTCTACCTTGACACCAAAATTATGGTGTTGTTATTGTCTCCTCATCACAAGTCCTAGTTTCATAGAAACTTTTTCTTTAGAGAAGAAATCTGTTTGTAATGGTTAAAAAAGATTTTCTCGTTAGACCTCCTTTTCGCCACCTTCGAACTCTCAACTATTTGCTTGTTGAGCAATTTGCTCAAGCTCTTTACTCTGTTATCACAAACACTACAAATCCTTTTGCATATCATCCATGGTGATTCGATTTTGATACCTTCTTGGTGTAATCGTCACAAAACTTTATCAAAGACACATGAAAAAGCAAAACAAAGATCTGATACCAAATTGATCTTAGTCTTGTGATAATTTTAGATCAAACCGAAAGTGTTGTTGGTCGAAATTATTCCTTCAAGAACTCAAAGAAGCTGCAACCTCTTTACACAAAGTTGATAAAATCCAAAAACTCCAGCCTTTAAAATTAAATAGGCCAAACTTGTTGATCAATAAAAAAAACATCATCTTGAGTGATTAATTTCAAGGATATAGCAACACATAAAATTCGGCCCATTGAAAATGGTGAAGTTGAAATGGATCATACTCTGGTGTCATACTCTGTTGTGCAGGTCTAAACCAAGTTGTAGTCTACAGTCCAAGGTCCAAGCCCAACTAATCCGAAGTGATAACACGTGGTATGCTTGAGGAACTTCTTGATCATTCATCACCTTCAGTATCTTGCACTTTGTTTTTCGACTTTAGCAAACTTGGCTATCTTCTTCATATAAATTGAAAAATTTTGCCAGTTTTTGTGATACAGATTGCTGACTTTCATCCAATGAATCTTCATTTCCATCATAATCATCATCATCTTCATAAACCAGATGAATTCCCCACTTCTTCAGCTCAACCCCTTCAATCACAGGTGGATCTCGCTTTCTTACCTGTATCTTAAAGCCATCTTTCAACATAAAAACCAAAGGATTGATATGTGAATATCGACAGAAGTGGATTTGATCTTCATGAGTCTTCGGTAATCCCCGTAAGTACAATGCGGTCTTGAAAATAGGTATATTCTGATCAAGTACATGGGCTTGAATGTCTGGTATAAGTGGGGCATATCTTAAGTCCTCTGGTATCTGACGTTCGAGAGAGACGACAACACCTATAATCACAGCTTTGATTTCACGGTTTCTTCGCACTGAAAAGTGAATTACATCTTCTTGAGAAAACCAATCTGGGATTTTGCTCCCAGGCATACTTAGGTTGCGAATATTCCTCAAGCAAACCTGTAATAAAAGAGAAAAAATAAATAAAATAAGAGGCAAACCCTTGTTAGTCTAAAACAGGCACTCATTGGACAAGATAGAGAACCTTGGATAGTCTTCTCTTCACCGTCAAGGAGCATGCGTTGCAACCGCTCATATATAACCGTTTGAGGAATTTCAAGCATTCAATGCCTGGAATATCCACCACTTTCTCGCAATTTGTGATGTTCAGTAACGTTAAGCTTCCCAAATTTGAAACATCTGATATTGTTTCCAATGCAAAGCAGTTGGGAACTTCCACTTCTTCTAAACTCGAGGGAAGCGGAGGGAGAGACTCAAGTTGTTCACACTGGGGCAACCGAAGCGTCCTTAGAAGAGAGAGGCCACATAAACTAGATGGAAGGCTGCTGAAATTGTTATGGCCGAGATCCAATAACTCTAACGATGAAAGTTTCTCAAAATCGTCAGGAATTTTACCTGATATTCTCCAAGCACGAGCATGTAGTTCTTGTAGCAAGGAGAGTTCTGAGAAAGAAACTGGGAGGACAACTAACTGCTCTTGTGTGGTGAGAGATTCAAGTGGCTCTTTTCCCATTTTCAAGATCTTTAAGCTAGAGAGCTTTCCAAAACTTGCAGGGAGTACTGTAACAGCCGTCTTCTCCATTAGCAAGTGGCACAAAGACTTCAACTCTCCTATAGAAACTGGAAGCTTGTGGAGCTTTTTGCACTCATCCAATCTCAACCACACAAGGTGTTCCAGCCTTCCAATGGATTCAGGCAACTCAATAATATTACAACCAAACAAGTTTATGGTTGTAACATTCAATATGCTCCCAATTGCTTCAGGCAAAGATCCAAGAGATGTACATCTCCTCATGTTAAGCTTCTCAATCATTTTCAAACCACCAATCTGCTCTGGAAGATCTGAGATTGATGACCCATCTAACTCAAGTTCGCTCATAGAAGCTAGTCCTCCAATTGTATCGGGCAATTTGTTCAGGGAATGACACCCTCCAGCAAACAATTTCTTTAAATATGGTAAAGAACCGATTGCAGCAGGCAATTCCTTGATGGGACTGCTATTGATAAAAACATCGGTCAACGACTGGAGATTGCCAATGGATTCAGGAATTGCAGTTAGTGATTGACACCGAATCAAACTTAGCTTCTCCAGGTTTGACAAAGATCCGACCGAGTCAGGCAGTTCTGCTACTGCAGATCCATCGAGATAGAGTTCTTTCAGAGAAATCAGGTTTTCCAAGCGTTCTGGCAGCCTTGTCATGAATTGGCAACCATTCAAACTAAGCTTCTCCAGTTTTGTAAGCCGAACAATAGACTGGGGAAGCACTGATATAGCTGTTTCATCAAGAAGAAGTTGTTTTAGGGAATGCATGCTGCCTATGTCCTGTGGCAATTCTTTTAAATTTAGGCATTTAGAGAGATTAAGGTTCTGAAGAAGTGTGAGCCCGGAGACATCGCTTGGAAATTCAACAAGGTTTGAGCAATCATTCAAGTTCAATTGAAACAATGTCCTTACATTCCCCACTGATTTGTGAATCGTATTCAGCCGCCCGCAACCCTCGAGATCAAGTTTTTCCAAGGCTTTACATCCGGATAAATCAGGACAAGCCACAAGATTATAGCAAAAGCGAAGATTCATAACCATTAAGTTCTCAGCCACCTACAACCAAGAATTTCAAGTAGCAAACATGAGTTAAACAAAATAATTTTCCATAAGGACAGAATGCAAGTAGTTCAAAATCATAGTAAAAGAACATCTTGAATACTGAATAGTATTCCAATAAAATCTCTCTTTGGCATGATTGAAGCAGACAGACTGTTGTATTTAGCATTTTCATTTAAGCCATTATCAGAACCTCAAGCAAAACATACCTTGTGACTGGTCCTACCCCAAACTCGCTCAATTCCGCTCTCCGAGAGATCAAGCACCGTTAGCTCATGAGGAGCATAATCAGAAGGAAGATTTTTCAAAGGACAATTTTTCCACTGAAGCCACTTCAGGCCAGCAGGAAAATTTTTGAACTTCCCTTGCACTTCTGCGTGATTGATTTGCAGCAGTCTCAGATTAACCATTGATTTCAAAGCTTCAGTGCCAAGCATCAACTCTCCATCCTCTGCACCTTGTCGAAGAAACATCTTACTCTTTTCAATCAAGTTCGCAAGTATAGGACACAGATTCCGTGCTCTAACCCAAGAAACGCTTTGAGTTTTCATATAATTCTTCTTTTCAAAGTCAAGTATTATACCTTGAATATGTCTTGTTCCCTGTTCACAGTCATGCATTTATAGGAAAAGCATTACAGAATAAGGGTGGAAACCATATTGTAAAGGGGGAAAAAAAAGTACAAGCAATCTAGCAATCAAACAACAAAGGCATAAGAGGCATAGCTAAGAAAGGACAGGACTTTGGCAGGCCACAACTCCCCCAAAGCTCATACTAGTCTTTATATTTGTAAGCATTTTTCAACTATATTCTCAAAAAAATATAAATTTCTACCTATAATATATATATATTTTTTTAAAATGTAGTGAGATATTTTAAGATCAGCTTTTTTGTCAACGGAGACCAAGTCCACCACTTTTTGAGCTAAACCAGTGCTGGAATTTCTACCTATAATTTAGTCCCAAATATCTGAATTTTTACCACAGTTCATCTAGGTTGTTCAGAAGCATCTCCAAACGCATGGATTGAATGAATGCAGCTTGGCATAATCTCACAATGGCAAGATTAGGGGAAAAAAAAAACTCCTGACTCCTAAGAAACTCCTAGTCTTACCAACTGATCTACCCATGTAGCAGCAAAATTTTAACATCTAGTTATATATGAAGTTTACAAAAAATTAAAAACAAAAAAACTGGGAAGAATATATATCCTTAAATATTTAAAGTTTTGATTTGCACCTTCTTGTGCTTCAGTGTTGTCATGATTTCGCCACGATCCCATAGCCTACTACGCCTTCCGGGATTTAGGAGGTCTTCATGTTGAACAATTTGTCTTCCCATATCTCTGAGTTGATCATGCATCCATAATTCATAATCTGCACCGATCTTAATGAGACACTTTACTGTCAGAGCAGTGATTGCTGTCTCAGCACTAAAGCCACAGCCCTTCAAAACATCAATTGCTTCCTCTCTTTTCATCCTCATTTTAATAAACAAGCAAGCAATGTCAAGGAATACACACTTTTCTTCTTCATCCAACCCATCAAAACTTAATCTTAACACATCCTGAAGATTGCGTGGTCGAGTTCGTTGCAATTTTTTCAGGACATCTTCCCATTTCCGTATCCCTCTCTCATTAAACAAAGTAGAACCAAACACTTCCAAAGCTAGAGGCAGTCCTCCTGTGAGAGACACAATCTCCTTGGATACATTCAGGTATTCTTCTGGGGGGTTATCTTTTCTTAGTGCATGATAACTAAAAAGTTGTAAGGCTTCTTCGGAACCTAACTCTCTAACCTCATAAAATTCATTGACAAGATGTTCAACCAGAATATCTTTGTTTCTAGTTGTAACAATAACTCGACTTCCTTCACCGAACCAATCTCTATTCCCTGCTAATGCATTCAGTTGGCTTACATCATCCACATCATCTAACACAACAAGCACCCGCTTGTCATGAACCAGCCTTTTGATTGCGGCAATACCATCATCAATATCATCTACAGTAGGCCCATTTGAGGAAAGATCACCAAGAAGTTTGTTCTGCAGTGTTACTAGACCACCATCTTCCTTAGAAATTTCTTTAACGTTCGAGATGAAACTACGACTTTCAAAATGACCGACAAGTTTATTGAAGAGAGCTATTGCAAGAGTTGTTTTACCAATCCCGCCCATTCCATAAAGTCCTAGAACTTGTATGCGGTTTGATTTGTCATCTATGAACCTCTTCTTCAAGTTTTCTACACGGGAATCAAGTCCAACTGTATAAGTAGCTATTCCCACCGGCGTTTTTCTCAATTCTGTCACAACCCTATTGACCAATCGCCGAATCAACTGATCTTCTTCTCTATAAACAGCAAACATAATAAAAAGCGTTAGTTATAAAGAAACAAATTCTTAATGTATCGTTTTCATTAATGATGATATGAAAAGGTTATAATAGTTGTTTTCTTTCAAGTAGTAGCAATAACAATTTTCCAGTGAATTTATTCTCACCATTCAAAAAAAAAATCTATTTATAATCAATACCATCATTTTCAATTAAATATTTGATTTTTTTTTTTTTTTTTGAATCCTCTAGGGTATCCTAGACCCAAAAACCTAGATTAATCCCTCGTTGATCTGTCGGATGCACAAAACGAGAATATCTATCTATATAGTTTTTTGCATAGACAACGATTTGAATCCAAAACCACTTAAGTGACGAAAGCTCTTTCCACTCAAGCCAATCAGCTTTGATTTGATTTTTATTTTTTTTATTATAACCCAACAATAAATGTATCTATTAAGATAACTTTGTTACTTTATAGTTTTCAGCATTAGATAAGTTTTCAAAAGATAATGCCAGAAATATTTAATTTTTTAACTAAAATAGTTTTATTAAATAATGTGACAACAAATGATTGGTGATTTCTTAATTAATACATTCTATAATTATCATTAGATGACTAAATATAATAAGATTCACATTAAAAACCTTTTCCAATAACAAATTATACCACATCACTTATTAGAAAATATTTAGTAAAAAATTTAAGTACCCTAGCATTATACTTTTTAAAAAAAGATTAAAGTGTTTATTTTGCATAATGGGTCAGAATGTCTCTAATTATCACTGGATCACTAAATGTGATAATATTCACATTGAATATGTATATATATATATATATATATGGCAAATGCCACATCACTTAGTAAAAAAGATTTAGTAAAAAATTTAAATATCTCTTCCATTATCTTTTTTAAAAAGATTAAAGTGTTTATTTTGCAGAATAGATCCAAAAGGCTCTAATAATATGCTAAAATATTATCTCAACTCAAAAGTTTAAACAATTACATGAGCTTCTAATATATAACTTTATATTAATTGTTTTGTAACACACTTTTTTCAAATGAAATACTCTTTGAACTTGATATTTACATATATTCACGCTATTTTGTGCTATTAATTAAAGTTTAATCGGAGAGAAGTAAAGGTGGTAGGATGCAAATTCATGACCTCTTGATCTATGGGGTTTTGACACAATGTTAAAGAACTATTTTAAACTAATTTTAAAAAAAAATTGCATAAAATTTCATAAAATAAATTAAACCAATTTCATATGTATTAATAAAATTCAATAATAAATTTAACAATTACATATTTCCATGTCCTATTAACTTAAAAGATGGAATATTTATATTTTGTACAAAAATCAATGAGATACACTAAGATGGTACAATATATATATATATATATATATATGCATGAGTTTTTCATTAAACATTAAAATGATGGAAAAGAAATTAACAAGTTTCATATAATTTTTTGTCTTTTATTATATTCTATTTTATATTTCAATGATTAATATATAATATAAAAACTTAGAATGTTTAAAGTCTTACTAAGCAACTTATACGAATATAAGAGAAAAATAAATAAATAAATAAAATTTGAGATTGGCTCTTAATTTTTAAGTTTCCAATAAACATGAGCCAAACTTGGGCTTTGCAAAAATAAGGTGAGTTGAGCTTGAGCACATCAAAGCCAAAGCTCGGCTCGGCTCGGCTCGACTTATTTTAAATCCTATCTTTTATATGAGACCTAAGAACAAGGATGCCACCAAGGTTAAAAATTCGCCCCCACCTTTTTGCTAATATAGCATATTTGGTCCTTTTTAATATATATATATATATATATCTATATATATCTATGAGAGAGAGATAGAGAGAGAGAGACTTTTTTGTTAATAAATTTAACCCTACAAAGATACAAAATCAGCTTTCCTTGGTAGAAGATGACAACTCTGGTCCTCTTTTCTTGCAAAATATTTATTCGATCCTCTAATACAAAATTAATTTATTTTTCGTCCTTAAAAAGATGTGGAAAACTTAAAAAAACCCTCCAACTATATAAATGGTTTCAATTTTACCACTAAAAAATTTTTTATATCGATTTTACTCTTAAAATTTGAGAAATTCTCAATTAAAGACTTCCATTCATTTTTAAATCTTTCCATCCAAATTGAACCTTTCTTTAATGAAAAGCGATCTTATTTGTACGGAACGTGAGATTTTCCATTAAGAAATTTTAACAAACGTCTTGATTGAGAAATCCAAATAGTTCGAGAGTAAAATTGATATAAAAAATAATTCAAGTATAAAATTGATGCTATTTCAATAATGCAAGGATATATTTGAGGTTTGCTCAAATATACGCATAAGAACAATAAATTAATAATACATCTTCAAGCTTCAGATCAAAAGGAATAAACTACGATTGTTAGGAACTAAAGAATTAATAATTGACAAGCAAGATATATATATATATATATATATATATATATAAGTCAAAAACACTAGTAATTAAATAAATAAAAAACATCCTGATTGAATCCAAAATGAAAGGTTAGAAAGAAACACATCACCTGGTGTCGAAAACGAAACCAGAAATACCACCAACTTTATTCATAGCTTCTCTCCACTTGGCCACCTTATCCTCTCCAAACCTCTCCAGATGATTCATAAAATCTTGCTCGAAAGGACCCTTCTGTCTCCTAACATTGGATGGATCAACTTGGTAGAACAGAGGCAGGATCTGCCTCCTCAACTGACATATTCTAGCCAGTTCCTCAAGACGCCAATGAGAATTGGCATACCTTGGTGAAAGAACAATGATCGATGATGCTGAATCTTCAATGGCTTCCATGAGAGGTGGAGCAATCTCGCCTCCCTGAGTCATTCCAGCCGAGTCATCTGCAAAGACTCTGATGTCTTGTTTTTTTAATGAATCGTAGAGATGTTCGGTGAAGCTGTGGCGGGTGTCTTCTCTGCAAAAACTTAAGAACACATCCCAATGGAGTCTAAGTGCTGCCGGAGTCGATGAAAGGATCAGGCTCTTGGACATGGCTGTTTGGTTCTTCTTTTCTATCTTTGTTTTGTTGTGTGGTACTATTGGGGGTTGCTTTGGTTCTTGTTTGCAGGCGTTGTAAAGCAATGAAAAATTCCCTTCAACAGTGTTGTCAAGATTCACAAGCGACATAAGGGAAAAAGAAAAAGGATAAGGTGGCGAAAGGAAAATAATAAGAATAATACTAATATGAACAAATTAACTCTTTCAATATTTGGTTAAATAAGTAATTTTTCTATAAATTTTAGTCTATTTAAAAATCAATTTTTTTACTTTTAATTTCGAATTTGACATATTTTGAATTTTTTTGGATTGAATTCATTTTTTTTTAGTTTTTTATAAAAAATAATAGTCACATAAATATTTTTATAATATAAAACATTCAGTATAATTTACGTAGAGCTTCCTAAAATTTAAAATCATTCCAAGTTTTTTTTTTAATATTCAGTAAATAAATATATTTCTTAAATTTTTTTTTAATTTGTAGGTAAAATTTTAACTCAAAATCAAATTATATATATATATATATATATATATATATATATATATATAAGTTTAGGAGAGATCAAATTTAAAATTAAAATTTTATAAAATAAGTTTAGAATAAATTAAAGTTCATGAGAGATTCGGTCTATTTAACCTCAATATTTCGATGGGTTTTTAAGTTTTAGGTCCAGTGGCCATGGTTTACTGATAGTTAACAAGAGATTACAAAATTAGAAACACTGAATTATCTGCTCTCATTATTTTTTTTTAAAAAAAAACCATATATGTATATATAAACTATAAATTAGTCCCTCTAGATTTAAAAAATGAATTAAATGATTTCTTTAGTTTTAAAAACTAATTAATTAGTTCATTTCATCCATTTCATATTCTTTTTAATTTAATTTTTTTTCTTAAGAATTAAAAAAAGAAAAAAAATCAGTAAATAATATGAAAGGATAGATAAGAAAATAAAATAGTTTTTTTGGAACAAAGTAATATTGAGTTAAATATAGTCAATAGAATTAATTAAATAGTTTTTGAAACGACAGAAAATCTTTTTTCTTAAAAATTATTTAATTTGTCCCAATGTTTTTAAATCTATGTGTGAACATAATAAACAAAATACCCAAAGAACTAGAGGGACTAATTAATTAACCTTCACCATTCTTTTCCTATCTTCTTTGTGAATTTTATTTATTATATTTACAAATAAATTTTAAAATACAAGGAATAGTTAATTAGTTTTTAAAACTAGAAGGATTATTATTATTTTTTTGAAAAACTAAAAGGAGTAATTTTTAATTTACCCTAAGAAGATAGGAAATGAAAGGCCAAGGTTAATATGAAAATGGTTTGCTTGTTCCTTTATTATATTCTCTACTTCTGCTTTCCAGCCTTCTCATAATGTCACCTCGTACGCCTTGCCAGTTGCCACCTCGAGCTTTGATGTAGCTTTAGGGACGTTTGGTTTGGGTAAAATATTTTATAGGGAAATGGTTTTTTTTTTTTTTTTTTAAGTAAAATATTTTACAGAATAGCCAATGTTCCACCATTACCGTCTCTAGTGATAAACTTCCATCATCATGCGATCAGTTGAATGATATTATCATCGATACCATCACCTCTTTCTTGCGTTATTGTTAGTTTTGCAAAATAAATTAATTAGTATGTTTAATTTTAAAAACTAATTGATTAATCTCTTCAATCTATTTCATATTTTTTCCAATTTTTTTTTTGAAGAAACATAAAAAAAATAATATGCAAATATTGTTAAAAAAAATAAAATATTTTTAAAATAAAATAATATTAAATCAAGTATCATTAATATTGATAAAAAAAAGAATTAATTAGTTTTTAAAACAAGATGAAACTAAGATTAATAGCCTCGTCTATCCTTATATATTAAACTAAGTTAGTCCCTCTTTTTTCGGAAAAAATGCATTAATTAGTTCCTTTTGTTTTAAAAACTAATTGGTTAATCCACGTATTTTGAAATCTTTTTAATTTAGTCATTTTTGCTCATTTTTTATTCATTTTTAATTTTTTTTTTAAGAAACAGAAAAGAGGAAAAAAATGATGACAAAAATAAAAGATTTGATAAAATAAAAATAATATTAAATTAAGTATGATTAACACCACTTAAAGAATTAAATAATAGTTTTTGAATCCAAGATGACTAATTAATTTATTTTTTAAAGCTAAAAAGGCTAATTTATAATTTACTCGTCCAGAATGTTAGGACGAAAATAACACCAATAACAAAGAAAAGTGCAGTATCACACACAGTAGAATTTAAAGGGTAATTTGCAGAGGAACGTACAGGGTAAAAAACTATGGCATTAGATGGGTAAATCAGCTTCCACCAAGGTAAGAGTTTGGGAAACATTAATGTGTGTGAACGAGGAATTGCATAAAGCAGAAAATTTATTAACTGTACTTAATTTGTAAATTCACCACTTAAAATTATGATTCAAGCTGATAAAATTATCACTAACTACTAAATTTTTATCTACATCATTAATTATTTCAGTATGGTAATTGTTATTAATATGAAAAACATTTATATGTATTCTTAAAAGATCTTTGGTTTGCACAAAATATTGTATATTTGAAACATTGTTACATGAATAAATTTTAATAAATAATAACATAAAAAAATAAGTTATGAGCGAAATAATAATGGTTGTAGTCAATGACAATAATTTTTAATAATATAATAATTTGATTATTATTTGTAAAGTGTTTTACAAAAATTGAAAATAAATATTTTTCAACAATAAACTAAATTGAATAAATATTTTTCAACAATAAAGTAAGCTTATAGATTAATTAGTTAAAATTTTAAACGGGGAAGAATCAACAATTTCTCGCACGAAAGAGTGTCGGCAAGTGGGACCAAAAACAAAAGGTACATAAAAGCAAGGAGCCTGACAAGGGGGCACGGCGTACGAGGTGACTCTGTACAAGACTGGAAAGCAGAAGTAGTTGAATGTAATAAAGGCACAAGCAAATTATAAATTAGTCCTTTTACACTGTTCGTTTTGCCCCCCAAAAAAAAACAAAGGGACTAGTTTTGCTTCCAAAACTTAAAATCTCAGCTGTTTGTTGGTCAATTAACCTTGGACTTCGATTTATTATTTTTTCAAATAAATTATAAATTAGTCATTTTACTTTTACTAAACAAATTAAATAGTCCTTTTAAAAAATAATTAATTGGTCATATTATTTTTAAAGCTATTTGTAAACATAATAAACAAAATACACAAAGAAGATAGGAAATGAAAGGCCAGGGTGAATTAATTAGTCCTTCTAGTCCTTGTAGTTTACAAATAGATTTAGAAACTTCAGAATTAATTAATTAATTTTTAAACTTAGAGAGACTATTTCATTCGTTTGCAAAACGAATTAAATGGTTCTTTTTTCTTTATTATATAATTATTAATCATAGTTAATTTAATATTACTCTTTGTTCTGAAAAATATTAATTTTCTCATTATGTTTTCATATTATTTACTTTTTCTTCTTTTTTTGTTTCTTAAAACAATTAAATTGAAAAAGAATAAGAAATGAAAGAAAACAGACTAATTAGTTAAATTTTCAAACTAAAGAAAATATTTAATTCATTTTACAAAACTAAAAGAATTAATTTATAATTCAATCTGTATATGTAGAGTTAGTTTTTTTCTTTTTTCTTTTTTTTTAAAAAAAGATAAATTGAGTGCTTCTAACTTTGCAAGGCATAATCCCGTTAATAAATAATATAAAATTATTTCTAAAATTCAATAGTTTAAATTTTTAAATAAAAATAATTATTTAATATTATATTAAAATTTTTATAATCAAACGGTGACAAATTCAATTTTTACATTGAATTTATTTGTTCATGTTACTATTATTCTCATTATTTTCCTTTTGCCACTTTTTCCTTTTGCTTTTCCCCTCAAGTCACTCGAGAATCTTGACAACACTGTTGAAGGGAATTTTACATTGCTTTACAGAGCCTACAAGCAAGAACCGAATTGCAAAGCAACCCACAATATTAACACAACAAACAAAGATAGAAAAGAAGAACCAAATAGCCATGTCCGATAGCCTGGTCGTTTCATCGACTCCGGCAGCACTTAGACTCCATTGGGATGTGTTCTTAAGTTTTTGCAGAGCAGACACCCGCCACCAGAGCTTCACCGAACATCTCTACGATTCATTAAACAAACAAGACATCAGAGTCTTTTCAGATGACTCAGCTGGAATGATTCAGGGAGGCGAGATTGCTCCACCTATCATGGAAGCCATTGAAGATTCAGCATCATCGATCATTATTCTTTCACCAAGTTATGCTAATTCTCATTGGCGTCTTGAGGAACTGGCTAGAATATGTCAGTTGAGGAGGCAGATCCTGCCTGTGTTCTACCAAGTTGATCCATCCCATGTTAGGAGACAGAACGGTCCTTTCGAGCAAGATTTTGTGAATCATCTTGAGAGATTTGGAGAGGATAAGGTGGCCAAGTGGAGAGAAGCTATGAATAAAGTTGGTGGTATTTCTGGTTTGGTTTTTGACACCAGGTGATGTATTTCTTTCCAAACTTTCCCTTTGGATCCAATCAGAATTATTTCGTGAGCACTTCACGAAACACATCACCTTCGCTCAAAGCCACTTATTGGTGATGATGGCAATGCTTTTTTTGGTCATTTTCATTGTCATAACCAATAAGTGGCTTTGAAAGTGATGTACTGATGTGTTTCGCGAAGGATTTTTTATTATATTATCAACAGTCAAATTATGTCAATGTTATCCTTTAATTCATCACAATAATTTTTTTTAATTGTTATCTTTATTGGCAGATTCTAAAACCCAGTCTTCCAATTTCTTTTTAATCAATTTCTTTTTTCTAATTGATTACTAATCATTTAGTTACTAACAATTGATCAACTTTGTTATTGAATTTATTTAATAAAAATAATATAATTAATTACATATGAATGTAGCTGATTTTATAAAATCTTAAACAAGTATATTTTCTTCCTACCATTTTCATTTTTATTATGTTTACTTTACTAATGCTTTTCTATTATGTTTACTTATTACAGAGAAGAATATCAGTTGATTCTGCGATTGGTCAATAGGGTTTTGACAGAATTGAGACACACCCCAGTGGGTATAGCTACTTATACTGTTGGACTTGATTCCCGCATAGAAAACTTGAAGAAGAGTTTCATAGATGATAAATCAAACCGCATACAAGTTCTCGGGCTTTATGGAATGGGCGGGATTGGTAAAACAACTCTTGCCACAGCTATCTTCAATAAACTTGTTGGTCATTTTGAAAGTCGTAGTTTCATCTCGAACGTTAAAGAAATTTCCAATGGAGCTGGTGGTCTAGTAACACTGCAGAACAAACTTCTTGGTGATCTTGTTCCAAATTGGGCTCCTGTAAATGATACTGATGATGGTGTTGCCGGAATCAAAAGGTTGGTTCATGAGAAGCGGGTGCTAATTGTCTTAGATGATGTGGATGATGTAAGCCAACTGAATGCATTAGCAGGACATAGAGATTGGTTCGGTGAAGGAAGTCGAGTTATTGTTACAACTAGAAACAAAGCTGTTCTGGTTGAACATCTTGTCAATGAGTTTTATGAGGTTAGAGAGTTAGATTCCCAAGAAGCCTTACAACTTTTTAGTTATCATGCACTAAGAAAAGATAACCCCACAGAAGAATACCTGAATGTATCCAAGGAGATTGTGTCTCTCACAGGAGGACTGCCTCTAGCTTTGGAAGTGTTTGGTTCTACTTTGATTAATGAGAGAGGGATACGGAAATGGGAAGATATCCTGAAAAAATTACGACGAATTCGACCAGGGAATCTTCAGGATGTGTTATGATTAAGTTTCGATGGGTTGGATGAAGAAGAAAAGCGTGTGTTCCTTGACATTGCTTGCCTATTTATTGAAATGGGGATGAAAAGAGAGGAAGCAATTGATATTTTGAAGGGCTGTGGCTTTAAGGCTGAGACAGCAATCACTGCTCTGACAGTAAAATGTCTCGTTAAGATCGTTAAGATCAGTGCAGATTATGAATTATGGATGCATGATCAACTCAGAGACATGGGAAGACAAATTGTTCAACATGAAGACCTCCTAAATCCAGGAAGGCGTAGTAGGCTATGGGATCGTGGCGAAATCATGACAATTCTGAAGCACAAGAAGGTGCAAATCATAACTTTATAGATTTTAGGATGCATATTTAATTCTTCCTTCTTTTTTTCTTTCTTTGTTTTTTTTTTTTGAAAACTTCATAAATAACTAAATGTTAAAATTTTGCCACTACATGGTTAGACCAGTTAGTAAGACTAGGAGTTTCTTAGGCTGAAGTCAGGAGTTTATTCCTAATCTAGCCATTCTGAGATTATGCCTGCTGCATTCATCCAATTCATGAGTTTGGAGATGCTTCTGAGCCTAGAGGTTTGTAGCTTGTATGGAACCGAAAGGTTGTGGCAAAAATTCAGATATTTGTGACTATAAATTTTAGGTAGAAATTCTGGCTTTGACTTAGTCTAGAAAATAGTGAATTTAGTCCCAATTAATGAGAAAATAGATTCGGAGATACTCCACTATATGTAAAAAAATTATAGTTAGAAATTTATAATTGTTTTAGGAATATAGTTGAAAAATGCATACACTATAATGACTGATATGAACTTTGTGGGGCTTGCGGCCAACCTCCTGTCCTTTTTAAGCTATGCCTCTTATGCCTTGTTCATTTGTCATAAAAGAAATTCCCACCTATAAACCCTGAGGAGGAAACTGTATTTAGTATTATTGAAGCTGCCATTGTTGCTGAATGTACCCTCTATGTGATTTCTTCACAAATTTTAAGGTGTTTAATTAGATGATATTTTTTATTGTTCTGTAATGCCTTCAATTCATATATATTTATGACTGTGAACAGGGAACAAAACACATACAAGGCATAATACTTGACTTTGAAAAGAAGAAATATATGAAAACTCAAGGAGTTTCTTGGGTTAGAGCACTGAATCCATGTCCTATACTTGCGTACCTGATTGAAAAGTATATGTTACTTCGACAAGAATCGGAGGATGGAAAGTTGATCCTTGACACTGAAGCCTTGAAATCAATGGTTAATCTGAGACTGCTACAAATCAATCATGCAGAAGTGCAAGGGAATTTCAAAAATTTTCCTTCTGGCCTGAAGTGGCTTCAGTGGAAAAACTGTCCTTTGAAAAATCTTCCTTCTGATTATGCTCCTCATGAGCTAGCCGTGCTTGATCTTTCGGAGAGTGGAATTGAACGAGTTTGGGGTTGGACCAGTAATAAGGTATGCTTTGCCTATTTAGTACATATAATTTGCATGAAAGAAAATGTTAAATTACTTTGGAATACTATTCTGCTTTCATGATCTTCTTGGTTTTAGGTGGCTGAGAACTTGATGGTCATGAATCTTCGCCGTTGCTACAATCTTGTGGCTTGTCCTGATTTATCTGGATGTAAAACCTTGGAAAAACTTGATCTCGTGGGTTGCAGTCGGCTAACTAAGATTCATGAATCAGTTGGGAATGTGAGGACATTACTTCAGCTGAACTTGAATGATTGCTTAAACCTTGTTGCATTTCCAAGTGATGTCTCTGGGCTCAGACTTCTTCAGAACCTCAATGTCTCTAACTGCCCCAACTTAAAAGAATTGCCAAAGGACATAGGCAGCATGAAATCCTTAAAACAACTTCATGTTGATCAAACTGCTATATCAGTGCTGCCCGAATCTATATTCCGCCTTACAAAACTGGAGAAGCTTAGTTTGAATGGTTGCCAATTCATAAAAAGGCTGCCAAAACTCTTGGGAAACCTGATTTCTCTGAAGGAACTCTCTCTCAATCAATCTGCAGTAGAAGAACTGCCTGATTCTTTCGGATCTTTGTCAAACCTTGAGAAACTGAGTTTAATGTGGTGTGAATCACTTACTGCGATTCCTGAATCCGTTGGCAATCTCCAGTTATTGGCCGAAGTTTCCATCAATAGCAGTGCAATCAAGGAATTGCCTGATGCAATTGGTTCTTTACCTTATTTAAAGAAATTATTTGCTGGAGGCTGTCACTCCCTGAACAGACTGCCCAATACTATTGGGGGATTAGCTTCTATGAGCGAACTTGAGTTAGATGGGTCACCAATCTCAGATCTTCCAGAGCAGATTGGTGGTTTGAAAATGATTGAGAAGCTTTACATGAGGAAATGTAAATCTCTTAGATCTTTGCCAGAGGCAATTGGGAGCATATTGAATCTTACAGCCATAAACTTGTTTGGTTGTAATATTATTGAGTTGCCTGAATCCATTGGGAGGCTGGAAAACCTTGTGTGGTTGAGATTGGGTCAGTGCAAAAAGCTCCACAAGCTTCCAGTTTCTATAGGAGAGTTGAAGTCTCTCTGCCACTTGCTAATGGAGAAGACGGCTGTTACAGTACTGCCTGAAAGTTTTGGAAAACTCTCTAGCTTAATGATATTGACAATGGGAAAAGAGCCACTTGAATCTCTCAGCACACAAGAGCAGTTAGTTGTCCTCCCAGCTTCCTTCTCAGAACTCTCCTTGCTACAAGAACTAGATGCTCGTGCTTGGAGAATATCAGGTAAAATTCCGGACGATTTTGAGAAACTGTCGTCCTTAGAGTTCTTGCATCTTGGCTACAACAATTTTAGCAGCCTTCCATCTAGTTTATGTGGCCTTTCTCTTCTAAAGAAGCTTTACTTACCCCACTGTGAACAACTTGAGTCTCTTCCTTCGCTTCCCTCAAGTTTAGAAGAAGTGGATGTTTCCAACTGCTTTGCATTAGAAACGATATCAGATGTTTCAAAGTTGGGAAGCTTAACATCGCTGAACATCACAAATTGCGATAAAGTGGGGGATATTCCAGGCATTGAATTCTCGAAATCCCTGAAGTGGTTATATATGAGCAATTGCAAGGCATGCTCCTTGACAGTGAAGAGAAGACTATCCAAGGTTCTCTATCTTGCACTTATATGTGCCAGTTTTAGAGTAACACGGATTTGCCTCTTACACTATTTTCCTATTTTTTTGCAGGTTTGCTTGAGGAATATACGCAACCTAAGCATGCCTGGGAGCAAAATTCCAGATTGGTTTTCTCAAGAAGATGTAGTTTACTATTCAGAGCGAAGAAACCGTGAAATCAAAGCTGTGATTATATGTGTTGTCGTCTCTCTCGAACGTCAGATACGAGAGGACTTAAGATATTCCCCAGTTGTACCAGACATTCAGGCCAATGTACTTGATCAGAATAGACATATTTTCAGCACCGCATTGTACTTGCAGGGAATGCCAAAGACTCATGAAGATCAAATCCACTTATGTCGATATTCGCGTTTCAGTCATTTGGTTTTAATGTTGAAAGATGGCTTTAAGATACAGGTAAGAAAACGAAATCCACCTGTGATTGAAAGGGTTGAGCTGAAGAAGTGTGGAATCCATCTGGTTTATGAAGATGATGATGATTATGGTGGAAATGAAGAATCCTTGGATGAAAGTCAGCAATCTGTATCACTAAAATTGGAAAAATTTTTCAATTCATATGAAAGAAGGGAGCCAAGTTTGTTGAAGTTGGAACACAAAGTACAGCATTTATATTTAAGGCAATGAATGATCAAGAAGTTCACTAAGAATGCAATGTAAGTTACTTCTTTAGTTCCTGCATATATGCTTTTTTTTTTTTTCCTTCACATGTAGTAAAGTATTTTCGGGTTAGATTTTGTATCAATCAAAACTAAATTTACTCTTTTTTGGGTTAATCTAGTGTTATAATATTTAGCTTTTGGCCGACTACTAGACTGCTTCTTAGACCAAATCGTATTTATATGCTTTAGCTGATCTAATGCTTGCACCTACTGAACTTGCAGTATTTCGAAGATCTTTCTTGCATGGGAACAGGAAATGAATGGTGGTCTTACATTCAGTTTGGAGGATGCTAGGCAGTTCTTAGTTATGTGATGGGAGACAACTTATAAAGCCAAAATAGCTTCTCTGCTTGTTGGCGATGTCAATGTTATCTAAATACTCCATGTTGCTATTTTATTTGTGTCTGGATTGGGGATTGTTGATGCCTGCTAGAAAAAAATAATCAAGTTATAAGTAGATTTAAAAATGTAAGGACAAATTAATTGATTATTGAAACTAAGAGGATTTTTCAATTCTTGTTTAAAAACTAGAAGGACTAGTTTTAATTTACTCGTTTGGAGGACCTAACCCGACGGTCTATGTGCCATAAATTCTAGCTGCGCCCGTCTACTACAAGCTTTGCGGGTCTGGCTGTCTCCAAGCCTTTAGGAAAGGATATGGCGCACCTAGGCCCAATTTTCTTTTCCTTTTTTTTTTTTATTATAAATTTTCTCCAGTATTATTCTTCAATTTTTAACACAACCTTACACAAAAATAATGATTATTTTCCATATTTTTATCTTTTTTTGTGTTTATTTTTAAAATCTATTATGGAAGGTGATTGTTATTGTAAAAAATAACGATTGAATTGCAAATTTTTTACAACAATAAAGGTTCTAAAAGTTATTATTTATAAATTTAAGATATATAGTTTTCAAAAAAATTCTAACAATATGTCAAAAACACTAAAACTGAGTTGAAATAACACTGATTTTTTTAAAAAAAAAAAATTGTCAGCATTGCAAATGGATTGGCATTTATTCTAATTTTTTTTAATAATAAGGATTTAATACTTATTTATTCATCATATTTTAATTTGTATTGATCTTTTGCTGATTATGTTTCACTTTATAATTGATCATGATTTTTCAACATGTTTCAAAAAAGCAATTCTTTAATTTTTTTTTATAGTATTTATATAGATATATCAAATAATTCTAAATTAAGTCATTTAATTACTATGTAATTTTAAAATTAAATTTCAAATAATAGAACTTAATATTCTAAATTAAGTCAATTCAAATTAATAAAAAAGTTTGAATCATCGAGTAAAGGATCATTAGGTTTTTTTTTATTAAATATTTTTAACTCATTAACTCAAACTAAGCATCTTTTTAAATATATATATATATATTACTTGAACATCTTTTCAATGTTGTTTTTTGCTTTCTAAAGGTGTGCAAATGAATTTTCTAATAAAATAATGCATGATACTTTTAGAAATCTATAAATATGATAAAAAAAAAAAGGCATATAAATAGCAGAGCGTGGACTAAAATGTTTGGAGAGCCAAGTTAGAATTATTATTAGGTTTGAAGAATATTGTTATTATATATATTATTTTTATTTTTGGGAGGGGGCTAATAATAGATTTTAAGGGACAATTATGAAAATAAGCCTAAGATTTAGGGACTATACTGGAGTCTTAAAAATTTAAGATGGGTCCGTAGTTGTAGATGTGGCTAGAGACGTTGATTCATAAAAGTCTATGTTAAGGTACTTGATGAATTTTGTAAGAAAAAGCAATTTTATAAATGTGTTTCTCTATCAAAATACATTGTTTGTACTGAAGGAGGCAAAGAGTTGCTATGGATAAAAAACTTCTCACATGAACTTGGCCTAGAGCAAAGGAATTTTGTGATGCATTGTGATATTCAAAGAACAATTCACCTCAATAAGCATATATTTTTTTTTCGATTAAAACACATTTATGATAGATACTTATGGATTAAGATGATATGGAGATGAAGTCTTTTATTGCTGGGAAAATTCATATCAACGAAAATAAATCAGATATAATGACCAAACCTTTACAAAGAGAAAAGTTTGAGTTTTGTAGAAACAAACAAATTTGATGGAGTCACTTAAACGACTCACGATGAAGAGAATACTTGGGCTGAATCCCTTTTTATATGAGGCCTAAAACCCATGTAAATATTTAAAAAAAAAAAAAAAAGGCTTAAACGAATGTCACGTGAGTGACAATTAATAAACCAACTTTGATTTATTTGTGAGAATGTAGTCGACAAAAAAAAAAAAAAAAAAAAAAAAAAAAAAAGAAGAAGAAGAAGAAGAAGAAAGAAAGAAAAAGAAAAAGGAGGGTTTTAGCCAAAAGAGAGAGAGAAAAGAGAAAGGTGCTATCTTTTTTTTTTTATAACTCGGGGTGTCACAGGCCGGTTGTGCGTATCACGACTAATCGCTTGGCTTATTGAACACCCCGCAAGCTCGGTGGACGGGTAAGGCACTCGTGGATGTGATAGGCGTGCGTAGAAAGAGTCAAACCCGGGTGGTCATCGAGGCAAACCCTCAACCGCTTAGCTACGACCTCAAGCGCAGGTGCTATCTTTTTTATCATGATGGGATGGTGATTTCAAATTCAATTAAAATGAAACTTTGATATATTGTTTTTAATTATGAGTGCTTTAAGTTGAATGATGTTAATCATTAAGAATCTTCTTTCTTTAGGTATATTTCTAAAAATCAATCTGTTGAGATTTAACTCTTAACTTTTTTTTTTTTTTTTGGTCATAAGAGTTCATGTTCGATACGATGACTTTAATCTTTTGATGTATATTTTCTAATTGAGTTAAAAAATCAATGTAAATATTAAAAAAAGAAAAAGAAAGAAAGAAGGCTTAATTAAATGTCGCATGGGTGATAATTATATAAAACAACTTTGATTTATTCGTGAGAGTGTAGTCGACAAAAAAAAAAAAAAAAAAAAAAAAGAAAAGAAAAAGAAGAAGAAGAAGAAGAAGAAGAAAGAGGGTTTTAGCCAAGAGAGAGAGAAAAGAGAAAGGTGCTACTCTTTTTTATCTTGATGGGATGGTGATTTCAAATTCAATTAAAATGAAACTTTGATGTATTGTTTCTGATGATGAATGCTTTGACTTGAATGTTGTTAATCATCAAGAACCTTTTATATTTGGGCATTTTTCTAAAAACCAATTTGGTGAGATTTAACCCTAACTTTTTTCTTTTTTTGTTATCGTAAGAATCCATACTCGGGATAATGACTTTAATGTTTTGATGTATATTTTTTGTTAAATTAAAAAAATACATTATATCTCATTATTTGATACAGTAGAAGAGTTTGAATGTATTATAATTTCATAGCTTTTTTCTATATTAGAGTTTTTTATTTATAAATTCAGGGATTGATTATGATTATGTGTTTATTTATTTTTACATTAATTATTGTTGATTGATTGATCGAATTTTAATTGCATAAAGAGAGAAGAATTTACAACTTATGATTTATGATTCCATTCTGTACAATTGTCTTTTCCCAATATCATGAAATCTTCAAAATCTATAATTGGATAGTGAAGGCTGATATTGGTAGTCTCTGAAGACTACTTCCACACGCACATTCTCTCGTAGGTGGAGAAACATCCTGGGAATCTTGCACACACGAGAGTCTACTATTCTCTTAACGCAAGCTTTTGTTTCCTCTAATGGCTTCACTTCCTTGGCTTGGTCATAGTTAGACTTTTCATCTTCAGGAATGGAATTTACAGCATTGGCGTTCAAGACTCCCATGTTGGCAACAGTGATTGGTGATCAGGGACAAGGACTTGAGTTTAATTAAACAGAGCTGTTAGAGGTGGCCATTCAAGCATAATAAAGAAAATATATAAATGCTGATGTTAGAAAAACGAATATAATATGCTGATAGGAAAAGAGATCCTTACCTACCTTTGCCCTTCCTTTTCCCACCCGATGCATGTCCAAAGATCTTCTGTCTCAATCCTTTCTCATTTTTATACGGTTTCTGCTGCACAAACTTGTTAATTTTTTTTATCTCTTTCATGGATGTTGAACATTAATAAGCAGCTTGGAATAGTATAACATTGTCAGCACTTCGCTGACATTGCTAGTAGAGTTGAGAATTAGGATTCATCAAAAGACTTAAATCTCAAGATGAGTAATTCATTTTCAACCTTTTATAGGAATCTGCTTTTATATTTTTATTTTATGTTAGATAACTTGTCCAAATTGAGTCTTTTATACTTTTTACTTTGACAGCTTGTTTGAAGGCATTTCTCTAATCTCATTTTTAAAAAATCAATCACCCAAAACGGTTCGTATATTTAATCTTTTTTTATTGAATCATCAATTAGAGATTCATTTTTTCTGATCTTGTTTTCAAAAAATTTATCGCCTAAAGTGGTTCATATATTTAATCTTTTCGATCGGATCATCTATTAGAGGTTTGTTTTTTCGATCTGTTTTCAAAAAAAGAATAACTCAAAACGGTTCATCTATTTACTTTTTTTTATAAGATCACCATTAGTAGAAGGATAGGTTGTTTGTGACAACAAGACCCTCGGTAGGAGGTAGGTCGTTCATGACAAAAAGACCTTTAGCAAATAGGCAAATAGCCCATGATAGCAAGACAATCAGCATGGGACATGTTGCCCATAACAATAAGACCATATGTAGGAGATAGGTCGCCCGTTATAATAAAAAAATATTTTTAGAAAATATTTTATGCACACTAAACATTCATAAATAGTTATAACTAGTTTTTTTTACCCACACTATGATGTGGGTTCGATAAAATATATAAAATTATTTTTAAAAAATATAAAATTCAAGATAAAAAAATAGTTATAATTTTTTAACCAAAATTTTATATTTAAATATTTCTTATTTGTGTTTTTCATGATTTTTCTATTAGAAAAAGGATTTATTTTTGTTAATCCATGGATTATTAACTAAAAAAATTAAATAAAAATTTTAAAAAAGCTTTAGTATTTAATAAGATTGTGTCAAAAAATTAAAATAATAATTAATAAAAACTTACATAGAATTGAACAAATAAAAAATTATTTTTTATTTTTATTTAATTTTGATGAGAATATCGATTTTTGAAAAAATGTGAATTTAATTTGTACATATTTATTCACAAAAAAATAAATAATAGAAAATAAAAAACTATATTAATTTGAATCATTGAGTGGTTAAGCCAAATAATAATTTTAATTATTTAATTTAAAATAAATTAATTTTAAAATATTTTAAAATAAAT